CAGCTGGGCGAACAAACGAGCGAATGAATGAATGAGTGAATGGATAGGTAGGTAGGTAGGTAGGTAGGTAGGTAGGTAGGTAGGTAGGTAGGTAGGTAGGTAGGTAGGTAGGTAGGTAGGTAGGTAGGTAGGTAGGTAGGTAGGTAGGTAGGTAGGTAGGTAGGTAGGTAGGTAGGTAGGTAGGTAGGTAGGTAGGTAGGCAGGCAGGCAGGCAGGCAGGCAGGTAAGTAAGTAAGTAAGTAAGTAAGTAAAGGACAGCATACATACTGCGCCCATGTTTAACAGATGCTTAGGCTTTTGGTTAAAAACTGGTATCTGTTATAGAATGCCAGCCAATGCTTTTATCATTGTGACTGACTGTGTCGCTAATAATAATAGCCGCCGCCGCCGCCACCTTTCGCTTCTCCCCATCGGACACCAGTCCTCAGAACGTGCTGGATAAAGTAGGGAAGAAAGGGCTCCGGACTGGAGTTCTAGTTAAGTAAATGATCACCACCAACACCACAATAATACTAATAAGGGTTTGTTTTCTGGCTTCCCTCGAGGAAGGGCAGAATTGATAGGACAGTTTTTTTCCAGGGATTCCGGTATATTTTTTTTTTGAAAGGAGCGATGATGGGGAGGTCAGGACCGAGAGAGAAGTTCAGAGGTTTGGAGAGGTGAGACTGGGCGGGAGTAAGAGGGAGAGATTTATTTCTCCATAATGGCCGGGAGAATCTGCCATCCTTTCTCCCCCCTAGCCTTCCACGGTCTGCATTTCTACGCCCCTTTATCCCTCCTGCCTTTCCATCCTTCTCTCCAGAAGTGAGTGGGTGGATGGAGCAAACACTCAGATTTCACCCTCTGAGTTCGCACGTGGCTGGGAGCAAGATTTCCCCCCCAAAAAACCCAATTCCACAGCCCCAAAGGCGTCCCTAGGAGACCCCAAGGGCGCGGGGCCTCGCTGGCGCCCGCCTCCCTCCCTCCCTCCGGAGGCTTACCTTGCCGGGGGCGCTGTCCAAATGCTGAAGCCCATCATCAGGGCTGCCCCACCTCGCCCCTTTACGCCTCCTTCCAGAGCAGCCCGGCCCCTGGAATAAGGGGGGCACCGAAAGGGCTCAGGGTCCGTGTCTCCTGATCCCCCCCACGGTCCCTTCAAAAGGCACCCAGATCGGGCAGGGACCCCCGAGGAGAAGAATCCCCGCATGCGGGCGGATGGTGGCGAGGTAGGACGGCAAGGAGCCTCTGGGGTTGAGGCGTGAAGGGGGTGGGATGCGGTGGGGAGGGGAGAGAATGGGGCAGCCTTTGCCTCCCCCTCCCCACCCCTTCCCCTCTCTCCCGGCTGCTTCCCAGGACCGCCTAAGCCGCGGTGGGGGGGGAGGAGGAGGTCCTGCCGTCTGAACTTGCCAGCGGGGTCCAGCCATCCATCAAAACCCAGACAGCCCCAGACGGACAGGCCAAGTTCACGAGCAATGGGCTTAACCCCTTTCAGGCCGTTTTCGCGCTTGACTACGGTTTGGTTTCGGTGGTGGGTTTTTTAAAATGATGATGATGATGATGATGATGATGATGATGATGATGATGATGATGATGATGATGATGATGATGATGATGATGATGGTGAATGCAATTATCACGGTGCATTGAAATTTATGAAAATCTGGCCACTTCGGGCCTCAGATGGCTTGCCCTCTTTCGGTGTCTCTCCCCCTTGGTTTCGCTTTCTCTTCCTCCTCTTGCAACCTCCCTTTTTTAAAATAGGAATCAATTGCATTTAAAAAAAAAAAACTATAAGCAACTTATTTGTCTTCTCCTTCAGTTTCTCCGTCTCACAATTAAGACTTCTTGCATTCTTGTCTTTAATTTATCTCTTAAAAAAAAAAAACTATAACTAAAATATCCTTTCCTGCCAGCATCTCTTTGGATATTATCTCCTCCCCCCCCCAAAAAAAATAATAATATTAACCAAACCTCTGGCTGGTCAGGGACACTAATAATGCTCTTATTTGTTCATTCTCAACATGAAAAGAAAATTAAATGAAAATTTCAAAATAAGAGTAAGGCTGGATGATGCACAGGTTTGTGGGGTGTTTTTGTTTTTGTTGTTTTTTGGCAAGGATTTTGTATCTAAATACGACAAAGGCATGAAAGCATTAGAAAACAGCGGCCAGAGCTAGACAAGGCTACACCGGGAAAGGAAATATATCCAGAATAAACACAGATTTGCTGATCCGCGTGCAGATCTGAATATTTAAATTGCTACGTAGAAGTCCTCTTAAAGAGTTTTTTTCCCCACGCTCCTTGAAAAAATCGAAACCCCACCACAGTTTCGGTTTTATTTCCCTTTAGAATAATATAATAATAATAATAATAATAATAATAATAATAATAATAATAATAATAATAATAATAATAATAATAATAATAATAATAATAATAATAATAATAATAATAATAATAATAATAATAATAATAATAATAATAATAATAATAATAATAATAATAATAATAATAATAATAATAATAATAATAATAATAATAATAATAATAATAATAATAATAATAATAATTCTATTATAAGACATGAGGTCGAATTGCGGGTTAAACTGTTGCATTATCAACGGGGACCGAAAAAACGTCCTCCAAATAAGGGGTAATATCCACGAGAAAAAGCAAGGACGGCCAACAACACAAACCCCAAACACACCGCAACAAACACAGGATTCGTCCTACGCCCCTTTCCGCGCGATTCGGCTTATTTGTCGTAACAGTCGCTTTGCCAGGCACGTACACCCCCCCCAAAAAAAATTTTATGGGAACAGATCCGCTTCCTTGCGAAATGCCCTGGTTTTCTGCTGAATTAGCTCGGCTCTGTTTAGGCTGAAATGCAGGCACGCCAAACCAACTTTTATCTTCCGTTTTTTCCCACTAGCCATAGAAGAGTCCCTGTCCGGGTTTGTTCGCTTCTGTATCTCTGCTTCTAATTCCTTCCTTCCTTCCTTCCTTCCTTCCTTCCTTCCTTCCATCCATCACCTACTTCCTTCTTTTCATCGATCATCGCTGTTACATAACAGCACTGATGTTACCTGTCTATCATGGGTTTGGAGGGAAAGTTCCATCCTATGGGGAGTGGAAGGCGGGACATCAGGAGGAGGGGCTGTACTGTATAAATATGTGATGCCTGTGTGGTGAAGGGAGATGCTGAGACAGACTGTGAGACACTGGGTTGGGACGAAGCAGCAGCTGGGGAAGAAGAAGCTGTTGTGGGAGTCTGGGTGTCTGACAGGGTACTACTGTGTGTCAGAGTACCA